GGGCTGCTGATGGGAAGGTGAAAATGCAGTCCTGTGGCTGTCAAGATTCATGTCTCCTGGGAAATTGCAAGTAGTGTGTGAAGTGTTGAGTATGAACACGTGGGAGCCAGAGGCCAGGGTGCAAGGATTGGTGGGGGTGCTTCTGCAGCAATAGGACCTGGGTCACACAAATAAGATGGAGACTGGGAAGGGCTACCTCCTACTGAGAGGGCTGTGGGGAAATGAGTTAGCTCATCAGGTCTAAGAAGAACGGCAGGAAGAAGCCCCCAAGGAAGGCCCATGGAGAAGGGACTCTGCTAGGGACCAGGCCCACTGAGAGTTGGAGGACTGACTGGGCTGGTGGGAGGCCTTGAGAGGCTTGTTTGAGAACACAGCTCTCATGGCCTCGGCTTGTGAAAGGAGACTCTGGTACCTGGTCTGGCCTAGAACTTATGTCGGTATTAACAAAACAGTCACTCTCAAATTCGCTTTGCTGATTGCATTGCAAACCACGGTGCCCCCTGGGCTAACTGCAGAGTAGATGAGAATGGTTACTTGGATCGTTGCCCTTTAAGCTCACAGTGACTTCAGTTTCCACTCGTTTGCTCATTCACTGAGCATGAAGCCAGCACTAGGCAGTAAGTGTCAGGGACACAGGCTAAGCAAGCCTGGAGAACTCATCACCCAGTGGGTTTCTAGGCTCCCTCCAGAGTCAGGATGCAGGTAAGCCTGTATTCACAGAAAACCTTGAGTTACACATCATCAGTCAGTGTCCTCCTGGGATTCAGGGCCAGTTGGGCACCCTGCAGGAATTACACTTGAAATGTTTGTGATACCAAGACTGAGTGGACGCCACAGCTTCTGAGGCCAGACAGGTGAGGCCACAGGCCAATACATGTGCCACCCCTCCAGGTACTTCTCTGGTCGGCCAATAAGGTGTTTGAAGAGCTGACAGACATCGAAAGGCAGTTCCACAAGGCATTCTACACTGTTCGGGCCTATCTAAACTGTGACCGGTACTCAGTGGGCCTCCTCGACATGACCAAGGAGAAGGTGAGGTCTCAAACTCCCAGGCGCCTCCTTCCCAGTGTGGGCCAGCTCATAGGCTGAACATTCCCTTCTCTCTTCTTCTCTGCCCAGGAATTCTTTGATGTATGGCCTGTGCTTATGGGGGAAGCCCAGCCATACTCAGGCCCACGAACACCCGATGGCCGGGTAAGTCAAGCTGATAGGTGGCAAGCACCCCACAAGAGGATGGGGAAATAGGGTAGCCTCAAACACCTGTCTGCTCTCATCAGCCTGCACTGCCCCAATGAGGGTGAATTCTCTAGATCTGCTTTAGCTTGCCGGAGCTCCTATAAATATTGTGACATGCTTGCACATGAATTTTAGTGTATGTATGAAGCATGGGTCCAGTTGGTGTGAAGTTAAATAGGATATAGGTAAGATAGATCTAAACCTGGGTGTGCAATACACATCTATGAGTATGAGTGCCAGAGAGAGAGAGAATGTATTTGTACACACACACACACACACACACACACACACACACACACACAATTACACGGGTGCTGTACCTGTGTCATTTGTGGATGGATGTGTCTGGGTGGGTGCTGTTCTCTTTTCCCCTCAAGAAAAACTCCACTGAGAAGCTGACCAGGAGTTCCTACATTGATGTGTTTTGTTTCCCAGGAAATTGTCTTCTACAAAGTCATTGATTATATCCTCCATGGCAAGGAAGACATCAAAGTCATTCCGTAAGTGCTGGGGTTTGACAAGTGGCTCACCCCAGGATGGAGCATCTGTAAACCCAACCTGTGGATTAGCTATCTCAAGGGCATCTATGCAGAGCCAGCAGGGCCTTCCCAGGACAGGGAGGAGGAGCATGGACAGATGAAAAGGGAAGTTTCTGGACTAGGCACTTAGACATCTGCTTCAGATATTTAGGGAGTCGGGTGAGCTGTCAGGTGGCCCCATCCGCAGCAACTCAACCATCTCAGCCCTGGAAAGTAAAGCCTCCACAAGGTAAGGCCATCGTCACACCCAAAGGAAAGTCTAGTGCAGAGCACAGGCCTAGAGGTACAATGGTCCTATGATTGTGTGGCCAGTGACCTCATGAACCTATAAGCCTGTCAACATCCCAAACAGGCTCCAAGAAAGGAGTAGGATTCAGGTATCAGGGCTGCAGAACAGGTAACCAACACTGACTCTCCAGAGGCCAACTGAAGTCAGGAGCCTCCAGTAAGGGAGGGGACCCTGCAAAAAGAGGAGGGCCAACAAGGCAGGACGGAAGGCACCTCCTCCTGGCCTCCTCCAGTCCTCAGTACTTGACTAGCCCCACCCCACCTAAGCTCAGAGAAGGGAAGAAACTGAATTCATATACAGCTTCGTCTAACAATCCAAGCATCTATTCCTCTGACCTCTGCTCTTTTCCCACAGCACACCTCCAGCTGATCACTGGGCCCTGGCCAGTGGCCTCCCAACCTATGTAGCAGAAAGTGGCTTTGTGAGTGCCCCTCTCCAGGCCTTGGCCTGTGCTTGCCAGTGCTGCCTGCCTGTTGGCCTGCCACCTCCTATTAGCCCTTCCTGCTAGCTGCTGCTCACCTTGCCCAGTTGGAAGCTCCTCTCTCATAGGCAAGGCTAAATAGGCTAGTCCTTGTGTTTATGTATTCAGTTGCTCAGAATGGAATTGCTTCTGATCCTTTCCAGATCTGTAACATCATGAATGTGTCAGCTGATGAAATGTTCCAGTTTCAGGTAATCTGCCTACTGATTGCTAGAAACTGCATTTTACTTGAAAAGAGGGTATTTTGTTTCAGAAATGGTGGGTTGAATTAGGTTTTCCCACTCAAGGAACAATTTTATGGGCCTGGGGAATGACTCAGTAGATAGTGTTTTCTATGAAAGCATGAGGAACTGAATTCAGATCCCCAGCACCCATGTTAAAAAAACAAAAACAAAAAACAAACAAAAAACAAACCGGGCATGGTAAAACGTACCTATAACCTCAGTGCTAGGTTAGGAAATAAGAAGCAGGCAAGACAAGCCGATCCTGGGGGCTTAGTGGCCAGCCAATCAAGCCAGTCAGTGAGCTCCAGCTTCAGTGGGAGGGCCTGTCTCACGAAATGAAGTGGCAAGCAATAGAGGAAAACATTCAACATGGACTTCTGGCCTCCACATGCACACACATGGGCACACACATATGTATAATATACACACATAAAACAACTTCACTCACAATCTGTAATCCCATCATTCAGAAGGCTGAGGCAGAAGGATTGCTGCAAATTAGCCCAAGGCCAACTAAAGAGTGAGATTCTGTCTTAAAAAGCAAAAAAAAAAAAATAAAGGAACAATTTCATTTTCAGTGACTGAGAAGCCATACAAGAAACATGTATTTGTGCTTCCAGGTCTATGATTGAGCTGATTTTATTGGGCTCAGTTAGACTCAGGTGATCTTGTCTAGTCTCAGCTGACCTTAACTGGTCTCAAATGAACTCGGGAAAGCTTATCTGGGCTAAGTGGATCCTGTCTGGTCTCAGCTGGTCTAGTCTGGTCTTAATTTATCATCACTGAGCTCAGCTGGGCTCAGCTGGTCTTCATTGTGCTCAGGAGAAGTGAGCTAATCTTTGGGCTCAATCAACCCTGGCAGGACTCGGCTGAATTTTCTTTGGTTTCACTTGATCGAACCTGGTCTGGCAAACTTCTCTGGGCTGGGACTATGAGGGTTTAGAGTTTCTCTGCTCTACCTGTCTTTATCTGGGGTTTGGACAAACATACCCAGGGCCACAGAGCACTTTCCTAAGGGAGGTCATGTTTAGGAACATGCTTAGTCACTAACAGCCTCTTGGAGGAACTGGCCAAAAGTTGCTATCCGAATTTTATATTGGAAGACATAATGAACCAACTGTATAATGTTCAAAGTCCAAAGTGGAAATGTGGGCCCATTTGTTGAGCAATTAGTAAGTGCTTTAAGAGCAAGGATTTTCAATACTTCTAAGAAGTATCCTTGGGCCTAGAGCCCTTGATGTTTGCTACGGTGGGGAAATAGCTTCCTCCAGCCCAGAAAATTACGACACAAAGCCTATGAACATAAAGTTCACAGACAAGTGAGAGCAAAAGGACAGCATTCAAACTATTAGCATAGCTTGAGGAGAGAGAAACTGAGGTCTATCCCCACCCCCAGGCACCAAGTCTTACCAGACCACACCTAGAACAGCCTAGTTCTTTCTCTTCTCCCTGCAGGAGGGCCCCCTGGATGATTCTGGGTGGGTGATCAAGAACGTTCTCTCCATGCCCATTGTTAACAAGAAGGAGGAGATTGTGGGGGTGGCAACCTTCTACAACAGGAAAGATGGGAAGCCCTTCGATGATCAAGATGAAGTTCTCATGGAGGTAAATATCCAGTACCATACGTGGACAAAGATGTCCATCTATAATGGTGTGGGACATCAGTGAGTATTGTTCCTCTCCACACACTTCTGGACCCTGCTTAGCACTAAGTCAAGGAGAAAGGGATAAAGATAGTTCACAAAGTTCTATCTCTGGAGGTCTCATTCAGAGGCATCCACTGTACTGCAGCAGTCTGGGAAACTGGCCACTGAGCCATGGGTGTAGAACATAGTAAGAGTCACCAGAGTGATTGGCTAAGGGGGTGACACTGCTGTCTACCTCCAGTCCCTGACACAGTTCCTGGGATGGTCAGTGCTGAACACCGACACCTATGACAAGATGAACAAGCTGGAGAACCGTAAGGACATCGCCCAGGACATGGTTCTGTACCATGTGAGATGCGACAAAGATGAAATCCAGGCAATCTTGGTACTGTGCCTAGCATTCTATGGGCCCCTCTGTCTGGGGAGGCAGGGAACTCAGTGATAAGGAAATATCCCTGGGGCCCAGGCTAGGTCTAACACTGAACAACCCAGACAGTGTCCCTGTGTCTCATCCTAAGCAGTGAGCAAGTGTGACGAGAGCCTTCCTGGCCTGCCTCATTATTCCATCTATAATCCATGTGTGTCAATAAGAACTGCACAGGGAAAGGAAGGAAAGTCGGGGTTCCCAGAAACTGACCACTTATGTCTGGAATTGAGGATGTCTGAACACAAGGAGACTGCTGTCCTTCAACAATCAGGAGCCCTGTGTCCAACATGTCCCATGATGGCGCACCATCATTCTGTTACCTTGACAGGGTGAAGGTGATATTGTCACTGTCACGTGGGTAAAGGTGACACCACCACTGACACACTCATGGATGGGCATGATACTGCCATCTGTCACATGAGATGAAGGTTAAGAGTCACTTTGTCATAGTCATAGGGTAAAGATGATACTATCATCCTGTCCCTTGTGGGGGAATGGTAATAAGTTCACTGTGTAACATTTGTGGAATGAAGGGGTTACTGTCACTCTGTCATTCCTGGGATAAGGGTGATATTGTCAGGATATCATATGGAGCATGGGTGGTGCTGTCACTCTGTCACATAGGGTGAAGTGACACTACCACTCAGTCCCACAACTCACGTGTTGTTCTCTGTTAGCCAACAAGGGATCGCCTGGGGAAAGAGCCTGCTGACTGTGAGGAGGATGAGCTGGGGAAAATCTTGGTGAGAACCTGCTTCCAGTGGACACAAGCTGCTCTCATGAGTGGCAGGAGAGAGCCCTGGCACACACAGCATCCTCTCATGATGTTAGTGCTACCTGTGTAGGAATGTCAACACTCCCCAACAGAGGTGACAATACAGCTCTGAGTGTCCCCTGGAGTTTACTTGATATCCGCCCTGCTGAGTGTCTCTGTCTGCCTTCCTGCCTCCTCTGTGTTTCCCAGAACTACCCATGTTTTAGCTTCTGCAGCCACAGTTTGGGCCAAGCATCCATCAGTGCTGCCTCCCTACAGGAGTAACCAGGTGCTAGCACCCCTCGTATAGATATATCTGTGTTCATGTGTTTACATACTTCTGTGTGCACTTGTGTGTGTATACATGCATGTGTGTGTGTAGGCACATACAGACACATGTTTGTGTGTCTCCCAGAGAACATCCCTACATCAACTTGACAGTTATGGGACACCTACCTTTTTCTGTCACTTGTGTGATTTATCGGAATCACCAGAGCTGTTTGTTTACTGAATAGTTTGGGGGTTTATTAATGCATTCAACATGTTCTAAACACTAATGGCTCTGTGTGAGGTGTACATATATGTTCCCATGTGTCCATATGGGTAGGTCTGAATCCGTGTATGTACCTCTGTGACTTTTCATGTATATATATAGTGTTACCTGTGTAGGAATGTCAACACTCCCCAACCATATATATGGTTGGTTTTCGAGACAGGGTTTCTCTGTGTAGTTTTTGGTGCCTGTCCTGGATCTCGCTCTGTAGACCAGGCTGGCCTCAAATTCACAGAGATCCACCTGCCTCTGCCTCCCGGGTGCTGGGATTAAAGTTATGTGCCACCACCACCCAGCTTCATGTATATATCTTTATATTGGCTTTTCCAACATCACTGCTACCAAGTCAGGCAAGCTTCTCACAGTCCAGTCACCTGGTGGGTGGAAACAGTAGAATAGAATAGGTTGGGAAAATATGAGTGACCTAGCTATAAATTTGAGTAACTGGAAGGCAGACATCACCAGAGATACCTGAGTGCCTGCTAGACAAGGGTTCAGAAAAAAAAGAAAGGTTAAGAACCAGTGGGGGTGTGGTAGGTCTGCTTCCCTCAGCCCATAATCTCTCTTACAGAAGGAAGAACTTCCAGGGCCTACCAAGTTTGACATCTACGAGTTCCACTTCTCTGATCTGGAGTGTACAGAGCTGGAGCTAGTCAAATGTGGAATCCAGATGTACTATGAGCTGGGTGTAGTCCGAAAGTTCCAGATTCCCCAGGAGGTGGGGAGATATGGTTGGAGTTCCAGAACAAGAGGATGTGGAGGGTTGGTTAAGGGTTACAGATCCAAGAGGTGAAAGGCATGTGGTGAGAGCCCTCAGAGATCACCACTGGGAGGAAGGGAAGGTTATTCCAGCTCAGCGCTCCATGATTCTGCTTCTTCCCTGGGCTTCTCACTCTGTCCTGCATCTACCTCCATACCTGTGTCCCCACAGCCCACATAAAGAATGAATAATATTTCATGCTCCCCAGAAACCAAGGGTGACTGGCTGGTATTTCAGAAAGAATTTTTACTAAATTGTAAGGGAAACAGAATAGAAAAAAATTATAAAAAACGTACCAGGATAAAAATATTTCCAAATACTTATTTGACCCTAAATATCATAATGAAAACATTAGAGAGCCCCCTTAGTCTGCACTCTCTTTCTCAAAGAAAATGTCTAGGTGCTCTACCTTCCTGCTCACAGACCACATATCTGACCCATTCAAGCATTCAGCCCTAAAACTAATGTTTTTGTTTTGTTCTTTTTGTTTTGTTTTTGTTTGTTTCTCAAAGTATCCCACATCCCAGGGGTCCTCTTTCCATTGTGGGTCTGGGCCATGGAGATAGAGGCATCAAATTTCCAATGGCTGGAGCTGTTCCTAGTTCTACTGTGTGAGAGCCCTTCCCAAACAGGAAGGAGCCAAGGGGAACAAGGAACAAGGGCTCTGAGGCCAACAAGATAGAAGTAGGAAAATGGGTATGACAAGCTCCACTACAAGCAGTTTGAAAGGCTTAGGTGGATTCTCATGTGGCGTTGTGTAGGTAGACTCATATGTGGCTTCCAGCATCTACATGTCCTCTGCTCCTCCAGGTCCTGGTGCGGTTCCTGTTCTCTGTCAGCAAAGCCTATCGAAGAATCACCTACCACAACTGGCGCCATGGCTTCAATGTAGCCCAGACCATGTTTACGCTACTCATGGTATGTATGGAAATGGGATGGAGTAAGAAGATTGATGGGCCTGGAACAAAGACTACAGCTACTACCTTCTGGTCCAAGGATCCCCATTGTGCTTGCCCAGTCCTGGCAATGGGTGGAGGGGACTTGGGTGGGCAAAAGAATGGGTTTGGGCCAGCCCCACATTCCCTTCAACCTCTGCTTCCTGGAGCCAGAGAGCTGGGCCAGTGGCAGGACCCAGAACTGGACTTCTCCCCCACAGACAGGCAAACTGAAGAGCTATTACACAGACCTGGAGGCCTTTGCCATGGTTACAGCCGGCCTGTGCCACGACATCGACCACCGTGGCACCAACAACCTGTACCAGATGAAGTAGGCTGTGGGGATGGCAGGCTTGTGGTGGGCATGGTAAACCATAAACCAAGCATGGTTAGGGTCAGGCTTTGCAATCTGTCAGTCAGTGCTGAGAGGGACCACCTTGAAGGCACAGTGCCAGGTGGGTCAGACCTCATCCCACTGCCTTCTAACATTGTTTTTGTTGTGTCTTCTTTTTAAATAAAATATGCAACAGATCCCAGAATCCTCTAGCCAAGTTACATGGTTCCTCAATTCTAGAACGGCACCACCTGGAATTTGGGAAGTTTCTGTTGGCAGAGGAGGTTTGTTCCTGATTTGGTGATGGGTCCTCCTCTGGGTTGCGGCAAACAGGCAGGAGGCCCTGGGAAGCAAGTTTATCAGTGTGAGGTGCTACCAGACAGGCTCCAATCTAGAGATGCTCCCACATGGGGTAGAATTGCTTTCAAGGGGCAGTAGCCATGAATGGCCACTAGTGGGTACAACAGATCATGGAAATGGGAAAAGATATTTGACTTGGGACCCTCCCAGGCAGAGGATAGACACCAAGGGAGGACAGGGATGGCTATCCTTGCTTGGAGAGGTAGCCATAAGACTGATCTGGGATCACATAAGTGAAAACCAGGTTAGAGTGCAGGGAGTAGACAGAGTAGGCCCTGAGAGTCAAAACCAAGGGTACCCCAGGCAACATCTGCCACAACCCAACACCAACTGACGGTCCCCACAGAGCCTGAACATCTACCAGAACCTGAACCGGCGGCAGCATGAACATGTGATCCACCTCATGGACATTGCCATCATTGCCACTGACCTGGCCCTCTACTTCAAGTAAGAATGCATCAGAGGCAGGAGGTGTGGGTGGGGCCCTCAGCAGACATAGACAGCTATGACAAATCTGTCACTTACTCCTCCCCTCCTTTGGGGACCAGGAAGAGAACAATGTTCCAGAAGATTGTGGATGAGTCTAAGAACTACGAAGACAAGAAAAGTTGGGTCGAGTACTTATCCCTAGAGACAACACGAAAAGAGATAGTTATGTAAGTAGCAGGTCTATTGTTGACCAACTAGCCCTGCAAGACCTCCCTAACCCAAAGCAAGATTAGCTCTCTCTAAAATGAACAAAGGCACTGGATCAATCTGTCCTGAGATTCATGGACATCAGCACAAAATTCAGAGTCAGATAGCCTTCCTTAGGACCCTTGATTGTCACTTCTTGCTTCATCCTCAGTTCCATTTCTTCACCTACAAGGTGGTGACTCAGGACTAGCACCTTCCCCAGGACTGTCTCAGAGAAGCTGAGAAAATGTGTTCACTCTGTTCTCAGAAGGACACATGTCTGCTCTGTCTGTTCACAGGGCCATGATGATGACTGCATGTGACCTGTCTGCTATAACCAAGCCCTGGGAAGTCCAGAGCAAGGTCAGGACTGATGACCATCTGGACCCAGAATAGCCCTTCACAGGCCATCCTGGGTCTTTATCTAGGGAGCTACAGGGAAATGGTGTTGATTTTTGAAGTAATGTCTGGGTACAGCAGTGAGAGGCACCATATGAACACTGCCTGCAGAGCTTCAAGGGGAGGACCTGCTGCTCCTGAACACAGAGCCCCACTATAACCTTTGTGTGTGCTCAGGTTGCTCTTCTTGTGGCTGCCGAGTTCTGGGAACAAGGAGACTTGGAGAGGACTGTCTTGGATCAACAGCCCATTGTGAGTGTTGCTTTCAGAATCTTCCATCTTAATGTGTGAATTAGAACACTTGGTAGTGCTCTAGACCCCAGAATTTTAGGGTCCTGGAGTTTTAACTTTGATTTGTGGGGTCCTTGGCATGAGCATGGGTAATTTGGCATCTTATAGAATAAAAATCATGAAAAATTGGAAGCTCTAGATTGTAGCTCACAAGCAAGAGCCCCCAAGGCCTATGCGGCTGCACAGTACATACACAAGGCAGGGCAGTTCAGGGAGGGCAACTCTGAGGAGGGCAACCCTAGGGGAAAGGGGGAGGAGTAGAGGTAGCAGTCCATGGCAAGATAGACATTGAGGCTGTTATGGTTAGGGATAGGCCCACTGCTAACACCAGGGATAGCATCTATCCACATAGAAACTAGGAACTACATCAGTTTGCTTTGACCACTTGGGGAGGCACAAGGAGGCAAAGATTGTATCTCCCAAGCCAGCTTACTAATGTGAAGAACTGTTTGGAGCAGGCTTTAGGCAAGGTACAGACTCAGCAAGAGAGAGGCCTTTGCCAGCTACCAAAGCCTCATAGGGAGGGGCAGCACCCATGTCATTTGCCTGTGTTTCTCCCACAAGCCCATGATGGACCGGAACAAAGCAGCTGAGCTCCCCAAGTTGCAAGTTGGCTTCATCGACTTTGTATGTACTTTCGTGTACAAGGTGCGCAACAGAGGTATTTGGTGTTGGCTGGGGTGGGTTGGCCAAAAGTGGGTAGGAATGGGCTGTACCCAGCAGTGACCGTACAGGGACATTTGTGTGGTCTCCACCCTCATCTGACAGGGTAAGATGTACATCTTACCTACCCTATCATCTACCCTATCACAACACCCATCTCAACCTGCCCAGCCACTGGTCTGTCCCAAAACTTGTGACTGTCCTTCAGAAGCACCAAGTATACCCCTAGAAGGTCCTTACTCATCCTGAGGTCCCACTTTAACTATCTCTACCTCAGAGTGCCACTTTACCACAACGGGCACACTATCTTCAGGAAAATGACTTGCCTACTAGGCATCTGTGAAAATGTGAAAGCAAACCTGAGTCTGTCTGTCTCCATTGGCATACCCCAATACAACCTGAAGAACATGATAGCAGGCATGTTTCCACTAGCTGGTCAGGCACCAATACACTGCCAAAGATTTGGATTCTGCTATTTGATTGTAGGACATATGGCTGACTCAAAAGATAGGCCTGACTACAGTGTCCTCGTGTGATACACATGGCATCCCAGCTCCACACCTCTCTGGTTGTACTCAGTGTTAACAGACCCCACATTGTAAGGTAGATGCTGTGTGATTCCAAGTGAAGTCAGTCCTAAGCAGCCAGGCAAGCAGGAAGAGGTGGCCCGTCTTCCTCAGTCCATCCACATGACCTGAAAGCAGCTATAGGGATTGTTGAAGCTTCCAATGCCCCTGCAGCTGACATTCTTTGCTCTATTCTTAGGATGCTCGTACTAGTACTGTATCATAGTACTAGTACTGTATCATAGTACTAGTACTGTATCATAGTACTAGTACTGTATCATAAGTACTTATACCCAACAGGTCCCTCTCACACAAGTTCCTATCCTGTCCTCCTTCTTACGGATCATCTGGAAAGGGGACACTTCAGTGGTTCTTTCCTATGCTGATCAACTATAGGTGACATTGCCTAGGGGTCAGCCCCAAGTGAAATAGGCCGAGGGTGGGGGAACCAAGCTCATGCTGGGCCTTTAGCAGGCCACAGATCATGTGACCTGGGAATCAGTAGTAGCCATCTTACAAGCACAATGCCAGGGAGTGTGAGGCCTCACTTCACTGTTCTTTTGACTTTTAAAATAAAACAGGCCATAGAGATGGAAGCATCCTCAGTCCAATGAGTCTGGTGATAGGGAAGCCTGAGGCCTTGAGGAGCTACTATTGAGCCCTCCAGGAGCAGTGGAACAGCATAGTGACTTCTCAGTTCCCTCTAGGAATTTTCTCGTTTTCATGAAGAGATCCTGCCCATGTTTGACCGACTGCAAAATAACCGAAAGGAGTGGAAAGCATTAGCTGATGAGTACGAGGCCAAAGTCAAGGCCCTGGAGGAAGAGAAGAAGAAGGAAGAAGACAGAATAGCAGCAAAGAAAGGTCTGGGCCCCCAGAGGGCTGGGCTGGGCTCATAGTCACCCCTAAGTCAATGCTGCCACAGGGCAGGAAACCACCAAGCTGTCAGAAAGGCAGCTAATTCACATAGCCCTGGGCTGAGGCTGAGGCTCTGGAGCCAAAGAATGCCCCATCCATCTATCCTGTCCTTCACGTAAATAACAGATGAGAGCGAATGCTAGCATATTCCTATACATGGGAAGGAAGCTCACTTAGCCTATCAGCTCTTTTGTTCCACTAAGTAGCAGTTCCTTCCCAGGTATGGTAGCACATGCCTGGAAGCCCCCAAAGCCATCCTCAGAAACAAAAAGAGCATACCTGAAGAAAACACAACAAAAAGGCAAAAACAAAATCAGTGAGCTAAGCAAGAGTGAAATTGGCACAGTGCTAACCTGTATCATGTGACTCAGTTGAACACACTGCACCCCAGATCAGAAGCCCAGGGACATTACTTTATCTTTTCCCGGGTTTGTTTACCCTGGAGCTGGGGTTCTCCAGGGCCACTGAGTGAGTACACTGAATAAGGCATCTTCTGGGTCACGGGAGGTCAGGGCTGAAAGTAATCAGGGCACAGTGACCGCAGAGGCTCAAGCACTAAGGCTCAGCATAATCGGCTTGCGTTGGCCACAGACCTAGTTCGACCCCTGCAGGGAGAACCTACAGGTGCTAGCCGAGGGCACGCATAGAAGGGAGACAACCGACCACTCATAGTCTGTCTTCTCTTGCAGTGGGCACAGAGATTTGCAATGGTGGCCCAGCACCCAAGTCCTCGTCCTGCTGTATCCTGTAAGACCTATGTAGTGGCTTCTGGCCCCTCCTGCCACTCACTGGAGATGGACTCTGCCTATAACCGTTTGGTGTAAGACATTAGGAAGCAGAAAAAAAAAAAAGTCAAATATAACTTTGAATATTTTGAAATTTTAAAGGTGTTTTGTTTTTTCAAATTAAAGCCTACTATGACTGTTAAATAGTGTAGCCCATATTTATCTGGTTTGATAAAGTTCCCACAAAGATCTTTACAAAGGATTTGTGAATTGTGTCTCAAAACAGAGTTCTACTCTTGTACATACATGTATATAGGTATTCAGTTCCATCTGCTTAAGTAAAATCATGCCCAGGGAGTCAGAATAACTTGCCAGTTTTACACATGCTAACATCATTTGACGGCACATCGTATTTGACTCATTGAGACTCTGCTGGGTCAAGGCTGTGAGCAGAGCTGAGATCAAATGGAAGTGGCCTGATGGGAATAACCTGTACCAAGGGCCTGGGTAGGACCCTTGGGAAGGAAGCAGCTGCTGGGACACACTGCATGGAAGCCTGAAAGGCAGAGCTGAGGCCTAAGTCCAGTGGGACTTCACAAGACTAGCCTTTTAAACATGCACTATCTGGCAACAAACTCCTGGGATCCCAAAGAACTTGTTCTCCTGGGAAGAGAATACATCCAGCAGTTTGCCTTCAGAGGGGGCAAATTTAATCCTCAGAGTCCCAGACAGTGGGATACCATTTGAGGGGAGGGGAGGAAAGCAGCTCTTCACTCAGCCTCTAAAACCAAATATAGGACTTTGAAGTATACATATGCTGCTTCTCTCAACTCACTTTAAAAGCAAAAAAACAAACAAACAAACAAAAAAAAAACAAGGCTCTAAACCCAGGAAATGTGTGCAAGGCATAAAACTGAGGGAGTGGTAATACTCTGGTTTGCTTCTGATTGCTGTGATAAACCATGACCAAGAGCAACTTGGGAGGTTAAGGGCTTATTTGTTTTACATATCTCCATCACAGTCCATCACTGAGAAAAAGTCAGGACAGGAACTCAAGCAGGAGCAGAGGAACCATGGAAGAACACTACTTACTGGCTTGCTCACTTACACAACCCAGGACCATCAGCCCAGGGGTGGTACCTCCCACAGTGGGCTGGACACTCCCACATCCACCATCAATTAATACCCCACAGATACAACCACAAGTCAATCTGCTAGATAATTCCTCGATTGAGGTTCCCTCTTCCAGGTGACTAGTTTGTGTCAAGCTAAAAAGAACTATGCACACCAGCTGTTGGTATACAGGAGCCCGTGGATACAGACAGAGGGACAACTTCTTTTAGGTCACTTTCCAAGACCCAAAGGAAAATTACGAGTTGAGGGGGCACAAGACCCATGTTACTGTGAAGGCATCAACTCCCACCTGTCCTCCTGTACACGGCCTGAGCTTCTGACAAAAGCAGACCAGCTCAGGGCAGAGCAAATCAAGCTGCACCACGAGGCTAAGCCACTTTATTTCTTCGGCATCCTTGGAACCCCAACTTGGCCATACCACCGCACCTTTCTGTACTTGTCAAGTGCTTCTGAGGTGCACTTTGTATCTGTGCCGGGTAATGATCACTAATTCCTTTGAACCGCCCCCTCAGTGAAAAGTCAGGAAACAACTGCAGGGCTGGTTGGTGCCCAGAAGCAAACACCTAAGGCAGTAAAGAGAGGAAGCCAGAGCATCACACAACAAAGCTTTATTCATCCTCAGCGACTAAAGAAAAGGCAAGCTCACTGGCGCTTCACTTGAGTATGCTGTCATCTTGAGCTGAAAATTGAGAAGAGACAGTGTCACACATTATATACACTCGGGCTACCTGCGAGCACTTCAGGATTGCAGTTCTTAAAAGATCCAGAATCTAATTCCAAGAGAACCTAACTTTGACCCTAACACCATCCCTTGCATCCCCACTGCCCACTCCACCTGACTGGAATCAACAGAGAGGCGTCAGGGAGTGCTCAGCGGCAGCCTCTCCGAAGGCAGTGCAGCAGCACGGCCCACATTCTACTGTGCTCCGCTGAGAACAGGGCTGGAAACATGTGCCACCGGTGTCCTTCCAGAAAACCTGGAAGCGGGGGGAGGGACTAAAAGCCATACCTTCTGCCAGTTCTCTCTCAATCCGTTTCAGCTCATCTAGTCTCTTCTTTTCCTCCGCTGCCACCCTCCTCTCCTCCTCTGCCCGGGGTTTTAGGTAACCTGGGGAGCGGAAGCAATTAACTTCTTCCCTAAAAATGATGCGTGAAAAAGCCGACTCCGGAATCTCCGGGTAGCTGTTCCCACCTGCTCCCCTGTGGGCCTGGTGTCTTCTCCCTCCCCGGGAGCTGCAAGCCCGTGCAATCCCACACAGCCAGCTCTCCCTCACCCCGAATCCCGGTCCCCGAACTCACTATAGCGCTTGGCGCCGTAGGCCATGCCGAGGACCAGGGCTGAGTATCGGCAGAGCTGCAGAAAAAGAAGCGTTAGAGCAGAAGGCGCATTACCTGAGGATGAGGAGATAGGAGACGGAGGCGTACGGGTAGAGGGGAACGGGGCAGGGGGTGCAAGGGCCTCCAGGCCGGGTTGTGGTGTCGCAGGCCCAGGACTGCCTTGAGACCACAGCCAGCAGTCTCGAGGGTGGGACACGCTGTCAGGGCAGTGGTAAGGGGCATGCAAGGGCGTGCAGCGGGTTCACCTTGATAAGCGGAGAGACCTGAACTGGGGGAACCATCTTGTCCGTGACCTTCGCGCCGGAAGCTCAACTGAGGCGGAAGACACAGCAAGAGCGCAGGCCTCCTCCTGAAGCCAGGATGGCGCATGCGCCTTAGCGAAGACGCGCCCCCTGGTGACCGGAGGGTAGCGGCGCGTTCCTTCTGGGCTGTGCAAAGTCTTTGGGCTGAGAGTGCAAAACGACCTCAGGAGGGTGGAGACGTGGGGCCACATTACTTCAGCACAAGCTTGTAATGAAAGACCAGCCCTGGAATCCGCCGCCCACCTACTCTGGACCGGAGCAGGCAAACAATCCCTTCCTCTCGTGGAACAGACCAGCACCCCCCGGCAGACCTGTCTAGGGCGGCCGTTGAGTGTGGGGACAAGGTTACATACAGATCATGTTTTGGCCCTCCCTGAGAGATCAAACTTCTAAGCCTTTCCTGCAACTGCTCGCCCTGGGTGCTTATGCCTTCTGGCCAGAGCAACCGGGTTTTCTCGCTCAGAGCAAAAGTTGAGTTCTCTTGGAATTAGATTCTGGATTTTTTTTTTTTTTTTTTTTTTACTGCAATCCTGAAGTCCTCACAGGTAGCCCAAGTGTGTATAATATGTGACTGTCCCTTCTCGATTTTCGGCTCAAGATGACAGCATACTCAAGTGAAGCGCCAGTGAGGATTTCTTTAGTCACTGAGGATGAATAAAGCTTTGTTGTGTGATGCTCTGGCTTCCACCTCAGGTTTTGAGATCTTACTGGTGAAGGCCATCCAAACGGGGCTGACCCCTGAGTTTCCCAGCCCTCACTCTCAGGACCCCAAACCCTGAGCCCTAATGACCCCTCTTCACCGGGCCTTGTGGGGACAGACTTTGGAGCACCCAAACTGCAAAACTGGCTTTCCACAGGCACTGTCCCCAGAGTGAGCGCCTCTCTAGCAGCCATGGTCACCTAGACCAGCAGTTCTCAACCTGTGGGTCACGATCCCTTGGCAAGCCTCTATCTCGAAAAATATTTACAATTCATAACAGTAGCAAAATTACAGTTATGAAGTAGCAATGAAAACAGTTTTGGGGGGATCACCATAAATGAACTGTATTAAAGGCTCGCGACAATAGGCTCAAAAAGGTTGAGAGCCACTGGCCTAGACTGAAGTTGTCCAGTGATTACCAGCCGTGTCTGCTATTGGCATGCAGTCTCCATGGAAGTCAGGCATGGCAAGGTTGTAGCCATCCATTGGCTGGCTTTACCTGCCCCCCCTCCAATGCCCAGTAGTGACTTGACATCTCCCTAAGGCTGTCTTTGAATCAGCCTCCTCAGTTTTGCATTGCACCAGGGCTTGGAAAGGTACACAGTCCATTGGGATGGGGTATCTTTCCTTGACTCTTCATTAAATCCGTATTTGTAAAGAGAATGTAACTATGGATATAAAGTCAGTACAATGCAGCAATGAAAACCCCCCAGAGCTCGTAATAGGTGTCCAGCTATCCTGAAGGGAGGAATCCTGGGAAGGGTAAAGGGGCTATCCTGGGCAGTCAGACGAGGAGCCACTGCCCTGAGGCCTGGAACTGTGCCTGCCTTTGGTCTGGAGTCCAAGTCCCTGGACCTCCTCTGCTGGAATCCTAGAAAGTTCCTTAAGCTGGGAACAGAAATACCCAGACCACATGCCACAGGTGCACCACATACTCGTTTCTTGCCCTTGGTAAATCTGATCTTTAGTTCTCCACCCCCATCCCTACCTGAGCCTGAGTGAGAAAGACAGGCTCCTGCCCTTCTTCTGAACCATTGCTCCCTGAGGAATCTGCAAAGCCATGCTGACCTACAAGGCACCAAATAAACTTCCTTACCCCTCGTGGCCATCTGCACACTGAGACCCCTCCCTTTCCTGCTCTTAAGCAACTGGTTAGATAACCTTAAGTGACCAAACAGGTTTCCCTCACTAGATCTTAAATCAGACTCCTCAGCAGCTCAGGCTTCCAGAACTGAACGCATCTCTGGGTTGAGAGGCGAGTGCAGAGAAGCAACATGCAGGAGTAGAGGCAGAAGAGGCACACAGCACACACATGGCATAGCACACACACAAATGGCTAGGACTCTGCTTGGGCTCAGGATCATTTGTGGGGGCAGCAGAAGTGGTTAAGTTCCCACATAGCTCAGGACACCACTGGGAGGATTCTGCACCTGTTGGAGACAGCTGTGTGCAGAATCCAAATATTCCCAATGTGCTATCTTTAGTGCTGTGCTCAGGCTCAGCCCTCAGACCTCCCTGGGGTCTTGCGGCCCTCTCAGATCCAGAGCTTACCACCCTGCAGCTGGGCCAAGTCCAGCTGAGGCCCTTTACTCTCAGCTACCATTCCCACACCTGAACAAACTCCCACCTCTGGTAATTCCCCCTCGAGGTCTGAGGTAGCATCTGGGAGGGAGCTTCGTGACTGAGTCTTGAGGGACAGGACAGGACCTCTGACAATGCACACTGTAGAAGATGTCACAGTTTAGAAATGTACCAGGGTAGGGGTTGCCCAGCTATCAGATGCACACTCCATTCCCACTTGTGCCATCTGTGGCTGCTGAGGTCCTGCTTCCTGTTGCCCCTATCTGGCTTAGGCCTCCAAAGTATGGGACTGTGGGGCTCTCATCTGCTCACTTCATTCTGCTTGCTGGACTTCCTCATCCCATACAGCCTGCAGGACCACTCCTGTATCTCCTGCCCTTACTCTCAGCATATTCATTTTCTGGCATCAAGGACTGAGTACAAGCCATATTGCTTCCCTGAATTTTGCCTGTCAGATGAGGCAGTAAGGGGAAGCCTGAGGGCCATGCCAAGAATGACTCCATTACAGGCAGTCTAACCATCTCCAAGGCTCTTCCAACTCAGAAATGTTATTGCCCACCACCCAGTTATGGAGCTGCCAGTGGTGGCATCAGAATGGGTCCTGGGTTTGCCAATTAATCAGGAAGTAAAAGTAGTACTGTGAAAGGCCTGATACACACAAAGCAAAACATAAATTCTTGGGCCAGAGCCATTCACAGCACCTCTGCTGGTCTTGAAACGGTATTGCTAACCTCAGCACCTAATACTTTCTGCTGCACTGGCAGAGCCCAGTTGCCTAGGATGACTCAGACTCTCAGGTTTTGGCCAATGATGTGGCACAAGGTCCTGGAGATGTAGAATCCTTGGCAGAATAAAACCTCCTGGTGCCTGGGCTAAGAGAAGGGGCATCTGAGTTACCACCAGGCTACTTAGGCTCACTCTGCAGTTGTCCAGTTCTTTGGGATGACAGTGTTCAGCCTGTCCTTGCAGGAAGTCTGAGCTATTCTAGGGGGCCAGGCAGCATCTTAAGACAAGCAGGAGCTGGATCCTGGACAGGAAAGACTCAGGCATGGTGAGCAGGCAGCCAGGGAGGCGTTGAGCAGGGGCATCCAAGTGTGTGTATGCATGCAATTACATATGGGCATCTTTGTGTATATGCTCATGTGAACATACACAATGGTGTGGGTGTAGAGATACATGCCCACAGTTGCCATGGTGACAAACTGGAAAGAATGAGGGAGGGTCTGGGCCTTCAGAAAACTGAATGCCAGGCATGAGTCCATCCTTGGAATCCATTTACCCTGGAGCCCTCTAGGATTGGACATGGTGGGTTGCTTGAACCCTTCAGTTCCACAGGCCCCATCACGTGAGTTAAGTCTCCCAAATCATGGGTTGTCCCTGAGTGTTCCCCCAGCTGCCTCAAGGGCCTCATCCTTGGCAGTTTTGCTTCTCAAGCCAGCAGGAAGACCAAGAAGGAAAATGGCACCACATACCCAGAGCGCACCCTCCAATGTCTTCTCCAATTTTGAGCAACCCAAATCTGGAAGTTCTAGGAGGTGAGTCTGCCTTTGCTCCTTGGGAGCCCCTCACACAGTTGGTACAAGAGGACACATGTGGCCTCAGAGTGCCTGTCCCTTTGATGGAGCAGAGCCAGGTGTGAAGGTAAGTGTAGGAGTTGGGCAAAGATGGTCCAGCAGCAGCAGAGCAACAAGCCTGGCATTGACTCCCAGGCCTTCACGTTCATGGACAAGAGAGTCAGCTTCATTGACAGAGTGGACCTATAGGACACTTACACTTCCCTGAGTAGGTGTGATCGCTCCCTCAAGTATAGCAAGGACATTGCCTCTAAATGCTGACACACACACTCATATTTGGGGGTTGTTATGGCCACCTCTAAGTTTGTTTAGTTTCCCTTAGTTAGTCTAAAGAACTTTGCTCTCAGGGTCTCAGGGTAGCTACTCAAGGCCCTGGTTTGTTCAGAGCTGGCAGAGGGTGTCCAGAGGTTTTAGAAAAACCTGGAATTGGTTTGAGGCAGGCACTGGGGAGGCAACCTAGTGAGTGACACATCCAACCCTATCCCTTCCCCATAACTTCACTCTACCCTTAGGCTCCCCTTGTGGGCTTAGAAGAGGATATGTATGGGTAGGCCTATTCATCACCTCAGGACCAGATGCCATCTCTTCCCCAACCTTCTTCAAGCCACTCCAGTTGGCACTTAACCCTCCCTGTCTCAGTGGCCTACCATGAGACACTCCTGTAGTTGGGAGCAGGAGGCTTGTGGTCCTACCTTGGAAGCTGGGAAAGGCAGTTACATTTTACCTGGGATGGGGGTTCTCTAGTGCCCACCTTCCCCATTATTTGAGAACAGAAAACAGTCCTCTACTTTGTCCTCTCCTCTGCAGAAGATGGTGTCCTTAGATTTGAAGTGAACTGGTTGACTCCAGCCTGTACTCCCCATACTTGAGCCAAAGGGCTCCATCTTATGTCTCCTCTGTCCTTTGTCTACATATGCTCAGCACTCTTCTGGAGTCACCCTGTGAATGGCAGATGGAGGCTGTCCTGTGGGGTTACCTGCCAGTATAAAGGACAGAGGGGGTTGGGAATGACAGTGCGGCCCTGGTCAACACCTCATCCCTGTCCATGCTTGCAACAGACAAAACTAATGTCAATGACAAGGTGAATGCCATACTCAAGGAATCCTCAGGGTTCCACCAACTTCATCATGTTCCTGAACATATTTAGTTTGTTGTTTGGGTTTTGTTTGTTTGTTTTCAAGACAGGGTTTCTCTGTGTAGTTCTGGTGCCTGTCCTGGATATCGCTCTGTAGACCAGGCTGGCCTTGAACTCAGAGATCCTCCTGGCTCTGCCTCCCAAGTGCTGGGGTTAAAGGCATGTGCCACCACCACCCGGCATCCTGAACATACTTGTGAGATGAACAGTGAACTCTATCCTGGGACAGCCCTCAGCTCAGCCACCTGCCAGTGTTTGGTTCCTAACATTTAAAACTCCAGATATGTTTTTAAAATAAAAAAAAAACCCTCCAGATATTTTGTATATGTGCCTAGGATGGCCCAGACCCCAGGACCTTTGGTTATTAACATGGCATGAGGCCTCGGAAATGTATCCTTGGCAGAACAAAGCCTCCTGATGACTGGGCTAGGGGAAGGAGTTATCTGTGTCACTGCCAGGCTACCCAGGCTCACACTGCAGTTGTTCAGTCCCCTGGGATGGCAGCCCTCAGCCTACCTCATACTAAGTGGCAGATAGAAGTCTGAGCTGTCCTAGGGGACATCTCGTGAGAAACCTCTCTCAGTAGTCCCCAAGCTCTATGAATCCCAACACATCTCCATCTATCTAGCTATCTGGAGACTCTGTGGTCTCAGAGCCCTGGCTCTCAAATGAAAGCCAGAGCTACCCATGTGGATCAACAGAGGTTCTTGAGGCCCAGGAATAGGAAAGACTCCCCAGACAGTACAGCAAGACTAAGCACTTGATGCTCTGGGACAAGACAGAACTCTAAAAGCCTTTTTGTGAGCAGGCACAAATACAGAGACCATCCTATATGCCTTCAAGATGCTCAGCCTTGATGGCAGTGGCAGCATCCACAAGGAATAAGTCTGTCTTAGGGTCTGGGGAATATCTATGCTGAAAAGAGACATAGTGCCTGGGCCTGAGCCCACCTCACCAGCCCCTCTTGAACTCTAACTCTAGGGCCTCAAATAGCCACCCTGAGACCCTAAGAGCAGAGTCATTTGGAATAACTAAGAGAAAGGTCATTCCTGCCATTGGGCCTTCATTACCCAGGGAGTCATCATCCATCCATCCATTGCTGTCTTAAGCCTTCCATGGATGGCTTCCTTACAGGAAACACCAGGGGGAGGGAACATTCTGTTGTCCCAGGCATTTGCCTCTTACTCTATCAGGAACCTGCTGTGAGTCATGATGGGCGCCAGGGACCATTAGGCACCTGGGCTTTGATGACAGGTAGCCAGGATGTACACATCAGACTATCTTCAGGCCTCCCACAAAAGGAGCCACAAGTAGGAACTTTCCACTCTTCCTCAGAGCAGCTAATCAGTCCCTTTTCCACTCTCAGCATCAAAGGTTTACTGATGTTCCAAGCTAACAAGATGACTGCAAATAAGGCTTGCCTACCCCCCAACCTCATCCCTATGGCTTCTACAATCCCAAGTATATCAGAGGGCAGCTAGGGGCAACATTCTTGTAAAGGATATACCACCACCCTGCTGCTAGCTAGCTCAGTAATAGAGGGAGCAGACTAGGAGGCAGGAATAAGGTCTAGGTCCCAGCTCGTCTATATCATGTACTCTGTACCATCACCATCACAGTACTCTCAGTATCCCATCCCCTCCTCCATCCCTCTTCTGACCCTAGCATACATCCCTAGCCCTTCCCCTGTCTTGGCCTTTGGCACTCTGCCCCCTCCACCGCTGAATAGGTCAAACAAGAATCAGGAACCCACTGAATGGAGTTCAGTGCCTGTCATTTACTGTGTCTGGGCTGGAACCCAGGAACCTGGTCTCTCTCCCTCCCATCACCCAACAACTTGACATGCCCACCAATACCCTGCCCTTCTTGGGCTCATTCTCGGGTGAATCAAATGCTGGAGTTTGCCTTTATTGATGTGGCTGGCAACCTACACTACAAAGTGATGAGCTCACCCATGTGGAGGAAGCAGCATGGGCTTCTCCATCCTTCAGACTGCAAGCTGCAGCCAGTTCAATAAAGTTAGACACACAAACTTGCCTATGAGTGTTCATTGGAGGGAATGTGTCCACCAGAGATCCTTCTGTTCCCTGCTCTGCTCAGACCAGCTCTCTGCCCTCTGTGCTATCCTAGAATCAGGCTGTCTGGTCATACAGTTGAAACAAAATCTTCCTACACCTGTCTACCTCAGACTGGCCATGCCATAGCCCTCAGAACTCCCTCAGTCTCCTACCACTCACTCCCTCTCCCCATGAACAGGCCCTCCCTGAGCAGCCACCACAAGTCTGGCTTGGCCAGAGTCCACCCTAACTGACCAGTACCCATACAACAGCAGTTATGTTTAATCAAGCATTGTCTACCTGAGGACCAAAAGGCCATCCCATCATACTCTAGGTATGCTAAGGACTTTGTGTCCTTGTCTGAGCTCTTAGCATGGCTGGCACAGTCAAAGAGACCCTAGCAAGCCTCTGCTTTACTAGATGTCTCTGCCCATTCTGAGTGTCCTTTGAGGAGAGAAGCAGGGTCAGGAGTTTCCTGCAAGGCCCCAGCTGGAGATGTTAAGCCACGAGTCTCAAGGGGTGGCACTTGGGTGGGGCTTATTATCTTTGGCTCTCTGGCACACATCCTGGATGAAGGGGGTCCTCCAGACTCAGCCTCCAGGCGCCGATATGGAGTGTTGAAGAAGAGCACCAAGACACAGGTGAGAAGAGTACACAGGCCAGCCAGCAGCAGCAGAGACTCTAAGGACACAAGCACAGGTCTGTCCTTCAACTGCCCAGGCAGTCAGAGTCCCCCAATTCCCACCATAGCCAAATCTTGGTAGACCTGACCCAGCTGACCCTAGTGACTGTGACCACAGAGAGGTCTGGAAACAGTCTTGGCCTCAGCCCTCAACAGCCCTCAGGATGTTCCCAGACCCAACAGTGGGGAATCACAAGTTATGGGGACATGGGTGTACTACTGCTGATCTTTACCCATTCTCATCTCCAAATCGGTCTCTCAATCTTCCTGTCTCTTTGTATCTTTCATATCTCTGTCTATCTCTGACCCACACCCCGTCTGTCTTGGTAGACTCTCTATGTCCCTGTCTGTTTCTGTTTCTGTCTCTGTATTTCTATGCAAATTTCTATATTTCTCTGTATTTCTATTTCTGTCTTTGTCTCTTTCTCTCCTTTTTACTCCAAGATCTCTGCCCCCTTTCTGTCTAAGATCTCAGTCTCTATTTTCCTGGATTTTGAAACATGTTACAAGGGGGTAGGGATACTGATGCTGGATTTTTGTCAGGGTCTTTGGGTACACCCACAAGCAGAGACCAGGCATCTGACCATACTACTTTACACCCACATCAACTGGTGCCTGCCTAGGGGGAGTAGAGAGCAATAAGAATCAAGATCCTCAACTGGGCCAGGCCTCCTAAGACCCTATCTTTCTGGTCAGCTCTTAGCCTGGGCACAGACACTCACCTGTCCAGTCTAGAGGCTCCTCACCCTGCTGACAGGTAGAAAAGGATGGACCTGTTCGCCGCACGGTCAGTGCCGTCAGTAGAAGCATGATGAGCACACCCTCGGCCTGCCTAGATACAAAGGACCCTCAGCCCGGGCAGCAAAAACTCTCTGCACACCACACTGCATCCCATCTTGGGAAGGGCAAGCATCTATGCCCACCGCTACAACACTTGTCGCTCCTGAGGCAGTTCGCTGTCTCCGTCCACACTGGCCCTGTAGCAGCACAGACTTGTACACAGCAAGTATTCAGTACAGGCTTATCCCTGGCCAGAGCAAGCAGGTTCCTAGCTTCATGGATCAGGAGCCATGGCCCAGGATCCATAAGTTCCAAGTCCTGGGAGAAGTGGCCAATGAAGAAGGATACTCACCCCAGGACAAAAATCAAGCCAGCAGAGGCACCTTCACCCACAGGAAACGAGCATTCAACCGCCAGCTCCATGACCACAGGTGCCACTGAGAAGCCAAAGAGCCCAAGGAGGGAGCAGATGGCAGCCAACGCAAAGGTCTGTCCCCGCAGCTGGGACACCTGGCATCAACAAAGGGTAAAGAAGAATGGAACCAGGATAGCAGTGAGTCATGCCACCTCCCCCATGAGTTCCTAGACTGAATGACATGGAGTGTGGCAGTGAAGCCAGTCCTACCCGGGGTTACCCTCAGGCAGAAGCCAGGTTTGACACTGAGTCATTAGCTCTGGGAAAGCCACCACTGTCCCCACTGTCCCTCACCCACCCGCCTGCCATACTATCCCTCCATCCTGGGTAGGTAGTGTTTGTTCCTGATGAATCTCACCAGAGCAAAGGCCACGAAGGTCATGGAAGTCAGACAGAGGCCTATCTTGGTGGCTTCAGTGAAGTGCTTGGTCCGATCCACATACAGGCCTAGAAGCAGTGCCCCTAAAATCCCAAACACGATGAAGAGAGCCCCACAGAGGCCTGAGAACTCCTGGAAGTAGGGAGGGCAGACTTAGAACCATCCGGAGGCAGGGAGCCAACAGGGCTCCTCATGTCATCACCATACGCCCTTACGTCATTACCAGGGCAGTTCCAGAGGACCAGTCTAGACAACCCTGTCAAGCTGCCTCCTAGGATGGATTTTATGCAATGTGAACCCCACTAAATGGAAAGAGGTATCACCACAGATACCCCATAGACCCTGGGTGCATGCCTATGGCCCATGAGAGACCTATACCCACCATGTCAGGAGGCAGAGGCCATGACCTGGGGATGTATAAGCAGCCATGACTACCACCTCCATGATAAGATGTTGATCTCATCCTTGTCAGGGGTGAACTGAGTGCTCAGGAGCAGTAGGTAACTCTGGCAGAGGCAGAGCCCACTCCAAAGGCAGGGCTACTACTTACATTGGAGTAGCCATTGGCACAAAGGATCTGTTCCAGGAGGGCTGAGAAGCTGGAGAAGATACCAATGCCACCACCAAAGCATATGGCCAGGATGACATAGGCCTTATTCTGTATGAGCTAGAAAGAAAACAGCCCTCAACTCAGGAGCCCAAGCAGGCTTCTGACCACAGCTTTCCTGCCCCCAGAATCCACACAACCCACCAGTTTGAGGCCATGGAAGAAACTCTCTGAAGTAGAGTTGGCAGCCCCTGCAGATGGCGGGGTAGGAGGCACACTCTCCCAGAGGCAGGCAGTGGCCAAGAAACAGGCAAGGGCAGCAGGGACAATGTAGATACCAAGCTGGGGAGAGATTCTGAGTGTCACAAAGAAACCACACTGACACATGTGGCCCCCACACATGTCAGTCTGCTCTGTCCACCTTACCAGCTGCCACCTGCCTTTAATCTCCAGTCAGTAAACCCAACCAACTCCTTTGGGGGACTGTGTCACTCAACCCTTGGCTGTTCTTCATGGCTTCATGTAGAACCTAGCTTTCAGAATAACACTCAAGGATGAGTCCCTCCTTGGTAACACCAGCCCAACCTCCCAAGGCTCCAGACTTATTCCCACATAAGAAGCAGATCATGCTAACACACCTAAGTATGCCATACCAACAAGCATGTGTATACACCAGATATGTGTGTGTGTGCATTGATCACATACCAGTATAACTCCCATATGTACTGTACACAAGTATATGTACATGCTCAAGATCACACAGCACACATGCCACATGCAAGATCATCATGAGCTCCTCACCATCATGGGGATGTCCTCTGCCTTCTTGACCAGGGCAGGAGACAGTACATTTGCCATAAGGATGCCCAGAGGATTTGCTGGGTAGAAAAACAGTTATATAAGCTTAGCTGTGGCAGGCCTCACCCCAGTCCTTGTGGGGAATCCTTCCTGGTTCAGGGACCTTGGCCTTCGCCCAAGCTGGAGAGCAGAGGAGAGCAGAGGACACACATCCAGCAGGGTCTGTGAGCTAAGCCCAGGTTGCAGAAGGCCCTCCCCAGGACTTACACATAGTGCCGATCATGTTAGCTGTGGCTCGCTGGTGCTCTGGAAACCATAAGGCAGCCAGCTTGGCTGGAGAAGAGATGACCAGGGTCTGGGCCACGGCACAGAGGCTCTGGCCACTCATGAAGAAGGCAAAGGGATTGGGGATCCTGACATCCAAGCAGGGCACAGCACGTAGCAAACTCCCAGCAAAATTCAACCACGCACCCAGGACAGTCTGCAGGAATGGACAGTCAAAAGACTACATGCCGGTCTAGACCCTCCACACCTACATCTTCAGATGCCTATCCCTAGCTTAAAGGGATACCCCAATATCTACCTGCCCTCCCCAGCTGCTTTGCCTGGGGAGCTGAGCCAGAAGGGCTGGTGGACTCTAATCTGGAGAGGAGACCAGGCTTCTGCACCCAAAGTCAAAGGGTCCCCCCCCCATACAGGTATGGGATGAGATCTGACTTACCGCTCCACGGAGCCCAACAGAGTCCAGAATCCAGATGGCTGCCATGCCAAATGGGATGGATACCACAAGGTAGACTAGTGACAGCCAGTTGACCTGCTCCATGGACAGGAAGAAGTGCTGTGCGACGGTGTCTGCTACAGGTGCAAAGCTGAGCCATAGCTACGGGATGCACATATGTCAGCTGTGGGTCACAGACACCACCTAGCCAGCTCTACTTTGGCTGAAGTCTATGATCCCCATTTGGCTAGCTCAGGGTAGGAGAAGGGGTGTGAGCATGCCTGTAAAGGCTATGAGGACACAATCTAATAGAAACTTTGGGTCACCCTGCTAGAGAACCACCCTGTTACAAACGAGGAAAGTCTCCAGGCATGGCCTACAGCCTGCCCAGCAGTGGACCATGAACCAGCCTGGAGGCAGATATAGAAGCCAAAAACCTGGCCAGAGTCTGAAGGACCATTAACCTCATCAGAATTGATCTGATTCTCTGAGAAGGCTAAAGGCAATCAATGGGGATAGTGCCCACTGCCTGGAAGGCACTCTGTTGAAGGCGGTGGAAAGAGGGAAGTGGGCAGTTGAGACTTGGTTGCCAGTATTGAGAGACAGTGAAGCCAGAAACTCAGTGGGTAGAATATCCTGAACACTGAGCAGGTCATAGCACTTAAGGAAGTAGTATTGGAGCACACAGGGCAGGAGCGGGGAATATGGGAGTGAGGGTATATGGTAGCCATCGTTCCAAATTTCATAGTTGAGCAATGTGCTGAGACAAGATGGACAAGGAACGCATTTTGGGGAGACTGAGGCCTGGTGCGTGGTGGAGACTCCATACCAGACATCCAGACATAGCTAAATGATGCCTTAGGGGCTCATGATATGCATGAGGACCGAGGAGGGCGCCAAAGAGAGCCAGGACAGAAGAGTCCAGAGCCCAGGACTTCCTTAGGGATGGGATGAAATCGATACCATCTCTCTCTGCACAACATCCTTCTGTCCTAGGCATTACAAAGCACAGGGACTCTGAAGCCCAAAAATAGAAGAGTGCAAAGTGGAGAAAGTTTTCCTGGAGGAAGTAAAGGGAGCTGACTGGAGAGAAGGGTCACCTAAGCTTAGACCAGCAGAAAGAATAGATAATAGATAAGTGGCCTAACAAGGGTGTGTCCCAAATCAAAGTTCCTGATGAACCCTACTCAGATGACAGAGGTCCAGGCCACACCCTCCATAGCTGAACAGAGTGTCAGGCTTTCCACAAAGCCTTGGGAAACACCAAGGTTGGGCAACAGCTGCATTTCCTTCTCTTTTTCTCAGAGGACAATACAAGGAATAGATCTCCCAGGCTTAGAAAGCACCCCATGCAGGCCTAATTGCCTCCTGCCTGGCCTCATAGAGCTGACAGGGACCAGATAAGTTTACAGAACCTTCTGTGCTGAGCAAGAAAAACAACCCATCTTGAAGTCTCACATGTTTGTCCTTGCTCCTCCTAGAGCTGTGGCCCACATACAAAAGGCAGAGATATCTCTAGCATGTGTAAGGCAACAGATGTGGGAAGAAAAAAATCCATCCATCTCACCTACTATACAAGAATACTTTCAACCAGCTCTCAGCCATGTCCTGGCTCACCCCCTGATCTCCTTCCCATGCAAAACACAGGGCCATCTCTTGGTCTCACAGCAAGTTCTCAGGCTCCTCTTTCAGAACCCTGGAGCCCAGTCACCAGCTACAGACACATGAGCAAGGACTCCAGGAAGCATGACAGAACATGAAGCCCACTGGTCACAATGAGGACCCAGCCAGGATCATGACAATTTATAGTATCAGGGTGATATTCTGTTTGCTCCATAAGGACAGCAGGACACCACCCAAGTGTTCCAGGCACTTTACAAATCTACAGAAGGTGAGGTTCAAGTAGATTCCTGCATGTATCCTGAGACATCCATCCCAAACCAGTTATGTTTCCAAATTCTAGAAAGGGGACCTGTGAGCCAAGCCATAGCAGGCAAGTCCCAGCTAGCAAAGGCAGCTTACCAGGAGAGAAGTTTCTGATTTTGCTACAGTTAGTGTATTCCAGGCCCACAGCAGGTAACAAAGCTGTTTCTTCACAACTAGCACAAGAGGAAAAAAGAAAAGGCCATGGAAACCAACCAATTGCTGGTTCACATGGAGTGCCAGTGGGTAGCTGAATCCATGGTGCCCTGGACACCATCTACACTGAGGGCTGTACTTCCTCATGGTCCCACTGGCTTGGCACTCTCTGAGCTATATTTGTTACAACTCATAGCTGCATGGCCCAAATGCTACCTATTCAGCTAAGTGGCCACATGTGACCCAAAGTTCCTTCACACGTATTAGGGAGACCTAGCATTAGAGAGGCGCAGGGTTGGCTGTCTCTGAGCGGCAGGTGGTAACAGCTCCACACTCTCCCTCCACCCAGGCTCATGTGGACCTGTCCTTAGCGATGGTGGATCACTTGCAGTCCACATGTGCCTGAAGGGATGAAGAGGGAGGGTCTGTGGGCCCCTGACATTAGCATTGGGGGGCTAGGGAGAGTATGAGGGGGTGCAGGCCACAGGGCTGAGACTCTTGAGACTAACAGACCTGTCACCCCGACTGGTCCCTCCCAGGCGGAACAGGCACTTGCCCCTTCCTTTACAACCTCTTGAGCTAACCGAAGGTGGTTTCCCGTGAAGAAGCAGACACTAACCGGCGCTGGGGCTGCTGGAAAGACCCCGCCCCGCCCACCCCGCCTGTTCCAGCACCCGAGTACCATCGCGTTGGAGCAGCTCAGAAGGCTGACCACCAGCAAGAAGACCCAGCGGCGCGCATAGGCTCGGGGTCCAGGCACCTCGTCTCCGGCAGTCCCAGATGTTCCCGGCCTGTCCCAGGCTTCCAGCCTGTCCCCCATAGTCCCGAACACCCCAGTGTCTGCAGTCCGCCCGAATGCATTTCACCGCAAAGCGTGGCGCGTGGGTACGACGTCCTAGGAGCAGGGCCGGGCGGAATGATTTGGTTAGTCCCCGCCCCGAAGGAAAAATTGGGTGGGAGAAGCCAGGGTTACTCTCTGACAGAGAGAGGCCAAGGTGGAAACCGGAGGGATAAAAATTCCCTTTAGAGCTAATTTTACCACAGCCTGTGTGGCCTGCACCGGGAACTTCATCCGCAGTGGTAGGTGCCAGAAAGGGGTCTACTTCAGCGAAGTCTGCATTTCTTGAAAGGTCCCCCAAAATTCTTGACGTCCTAAGCAACAGCCACGAAAGGCCCGAGGCCAACCAGGAGGAGGAGAGTTGGATCAGTTTTCCAAAAGCCTCCAATCCGGGACATTCTCTAGACTCCTCCTAGAGGAGGAAGAGGCGGGGTGGAGGGCGAGGAAAGGCTGAGCTTGGCCACACCACCCCTGCCTGCAGGTAGGCAGCCTCCAGCCCCACTCAAGTCTCTTTAAATTGCCTTTGCACCTGGGAAACGGCTGGGCTGCGTAGGTAGGGCAGTTGCTTTCTGTGATTAGAAAGGAGAGGCCTGGCCAAGAAGCTAGGAGTCACCTGACTCTGTACTAAAGCAGCTGACAGGAGTCATCCGACGCTTGCCACTGTGTTTGGCTTGGTTCAAGAGAAGACCAGAGGGCCAAGTTCCTGTTCAGACTAGGGAAGGAATGAAGAACTGTTGGGGCAGGAATAGGCCGTATTGTAGAGGAATAGGGGGGACTGGCCAGGCAGGGGCAGAAGGTGGATTTCTCTCAATGAGGAGGCTTTTTCTGCTTCAAACACATCCCTATGGTCTTGCCCTCAAGATTACTGCTCCTTTTTGTGCATTCCTGGGGCTTAGGGATTTGGTTTCTGAGCCAGAGTCTCACTGTGTAGCCTAGGTGAGTCTCCATTTTCCAGTATTCCTGTTGTTTATATTCAATATTGGATGGTACCACCTGTCAACCATACAGGTTTGAACAAGCTTGTTGTGTGGTTCCAGCCTTCGGTGTGTTCTTAGTGGGTCTGTGTGCATGTCAGATGGATTCTCCCATTTGGAGATGCGGTCCTGTCCAGCTCCAGAAAATGAGCAAAACCCTGGTGTACCCTGAAAGGTTTATCTATTCTGAGACCCATGATAAGGCCTGTGGTCCTAGCTCTTTTCTCTGCCCTTTCTCTTTCCTGTCTGTCTCACACCTGCTTATCCTCAATCCACAATTCACAGTCACTTCCCTGAAGACCTGGCCCCCCATACCCAACCCCTATGGCCTGGAGCTACCTTGGCCTCAGGACTTTGACATCCTGAGGTTCTATCTAGGAGAGGGTAGTTCAGGCTTCACTGTTCAGGGCCCTAGCTTAGATGGGAACCTGCCTGTCACCAGCTTCTGATTTAGGTAGCCTATCTCCAAATGGGACCATCACCATGGTTACTTCCTGTATTATCACATCTGTTTAAGTAAACCTTCTGACCTGCTCCATCCACTATCTCAGGGCTCTTGTGCTGAGTAGGTGATTTCAACTAGGTTATCAAGTGTAAGATCAGTAAACAAACAACAGCTGTCATCCTGAGCACTCTACCTGTGTGGATGACATGGAAACCAAAATGAAAAACAATACATTCATGATCTCATCAAAGATAATACTCAACTATAAACTTAACAAAACAGGTATGGCACTTATATGCTAAAAATTGCACAACACTAATGAAAGAAACTAACAAAGACCTAAAGAAATGGACAAGTGTACCTTACTCGTGTACGGAAAAACTCAGCATGTTAGCTAATACTAGTTTTCTCTGAACTGACCTAGAGGGTTAATGCAGCTTCTATCAAGAGACTTTTCTCAAACAGACTGGAAGAAAATATTTGCAAACCACATATCTAACAAAGGACTACTTATAGTGTTTTTCAAACACAATTAAAATATGGGCAAAAGACTGAAGATAATAAACAGATGGCAAATAAGGATTAATGACTAACTTTATTAGCCACCAATAAAATGCTAATTAAATCCACAATGAGCCAATACCATACTTCTTTTTAGAGTGCTAAAAAAAAATACTGACAACTCTAAATGTTGTCAAGGCTATAGAAAACATGTTGGCAGTTTCTCATAAAACTAAGAATGTGGTTCCCACATAACCCAGCTATTGCAGTCATGAGTATTTATCCATGAGAGATAAAAACCTGTAGCAGCTTTGTGATCATTAAAAAAGTGTAAACACTCAGGTGTCCTTCAGTCAGTGAATGGTCAAGTAAACTACAGTATAGGCACTATGGAATATTACTCAGGAATAAAGAGCAAATACATACAGCAACCTGGATAATTATGCAGAGCGAGGGGATAAAAGCCTGCCCTACAGGTTATATACTGTGTGATTCCATTTGCAATGGTTTGGTGTGGTCTGGGTGTGTTTCCCAAATGTCCCTGTGCTATAAGCTTTTCTGTCAAAGTGGTGATGTTGAGATGGAAGAGGCTTTAGAAGATGGGGCCTAGTGGGAATCTTCAGGTCATCTGAGGGGCTGCTTTTGGAAAACATAGTTCTCCAATTTTCCCAGGACCCCAAGTTAGTTCTTGATGTTATTATTTAAAAAGAGAAGCTTGGTGCCAGGGACTTAGCTCAGTGATAGGATGATTGTTTAGAATGAGCAAGGTCCTGAGTTCAACCTCCAACACTGGAAGAAAAAGGGGTGGGGAAGGGAAGAGAGGAAAAAAATCTCAATTAGCCCATCCCCTCACTCTGGCTTCCTGTCCCCCAATGTGATCACCCCCTCTAAGCAATGTTCCCTTCATTATGACACCATTAACCATAAAGTACAACCAGAGTTGAGGTGACTGTGCCTAACACTTGACCCTCCAGAACTGTATACCAAACACACCTCTTTTCTTGTAAGGTTACCCAGTCTCAGGCATTTCATCTCAGTAACCAAAAATAAACTAACAGAATATTTATATAACATTTTTGTAAAGACAGAACTTTAGAACTGGAGAGTAGTAGTGGCTAGGGCTCAGAGACTAGGGTGGGAGAGGGTGGATTGTGAAGGCACAACAGTGCCATCTTTGTTATGCTGATGACATCCTTCTTATGACCATGAAGGAAGCCTGGCATCTTCTCGGTATCGAACATTCAACCCCTTAGTCATGGTGAAATTTATATCCAATGTCTTGTCTTCTTTTTTAAGCCAAATTCAGACTTCTTCCAGCAAATCTAACCAACACTAAGAATGACTTCTCAAGCCTGTTTGTCTTTCCCAAACAGTATCTTGTCAAATCAAGCAATTGCTACAATGAGAGCATGAAGCAAGGCCCTCCTTATTTTCTGGGATACTACCAGGAAGAATATGCCTAGTTATTTATTTGGTGTTCATCAGCTCCTCCCAGCGAATGTTGGGGATGTGGAGGGCAAGGGCTCCCATCTGTCTATCCCAATTATTTGGATAATGGCTGCCTGTATCTTGGGAAAACAAAGGAGGAGGAAAAACCAACCCTTCAGCTGTGGGCCACTCCTCTATGCAGGCCGTCAGACACCCACATACAGCTGTGTAGAGGGCCTCCCAGATCCATCTGGTTCCAACAGCATGCCTCCCTCCTATATCTACCCAATGACTCACCTGTGTCTCGATAATCTAACCAGGACCCAGCTGCAGGAAAATAATGCAAGATACCCACACCCAGCCGGGACCATGTTAGCATATCAGGATCCAGACTCTCAGGTGCCTCAAGCCCATTGACTGTGACTTCATCCTCACAGCCATGGAAGGGATCCATTGCTAGAATGTAAACCTTTTTGTTTCTTTTTTGAGGAAGGTCTCTAATCACTGTTATTTGGACTCTAGTTGGTCCCTCCAGACAAGGTCCCCCAGGTGTCCATTTCTTCCCTTCCCTATCCAGCCCCAGAGCTCTCATAAGCCCCAAATAGAAGCCAGAAAGTGTCTAAGGCCAACTTGTATCCCCCACCCCAGGACTGCATGGCTCCAGAACTTTTAATCTCTTAAAGAAGTAAATCTTTGGTTTTCTCATTTGTATATATGGTATTAGGATAGGAATTTCCTGTTTAAGTATGGTGTGAGATAGTATTGGCTATCTGTATGTGTGTGCTGCTGAGGATCCAATGCAGACCCTTGTATAGGCCAGGCCAATCACTCTACCATGCAGCCATACCTCCAGCTCCTGTATCTTTCTGTATAAAATCTGATGTTTATACTGTGCATTTATCAGTACTGAAACTGGTATTTAGTTTGTGTTAATGTATTATTGTAAGGATCCTGCTCTCACTCTTCCAGGTTTAATGCCTTGCGTCATCAGCAGGCGACTGCGTCCCCACCTTAAAAAGCCACACACGGACCCCCACGCTCTCTCTCTGTGCCTCTTTCTGTGCCTCTCTTTCTATTTCCTTTCTGCCAGGCCTGGCTTCTCTGTCCTATCCCCTCTTCTTACTGATAAAGCCCATTCTAACTCTGGTAGCCCTGGCTTGTGACTCTTCCGCTGTTTATCTTTTCAATTATGCTCTTGCATAATATTTAGGTTCTAGTATGAGATGTGAGATGGGTCTGTCCCTTGTGTATATAGAAATGGTTATCTGCCTTTTTTGTTTATGTGTGACCAGGACTTCTAGTTTTTAAGACTATGCAGATGTAAAGATTGTCTCTTTAGGGACTGGAGAGTGTGTCTCTTTAGGGGCTGGCTTAGCAGTTAAGAGCACATGTTGCTCTTGTACAGAATTTTGGTTTGGTTTCCAGCACTTGCACAGTGGTTCACAAACATTCCTAATTTCAGCATCAGGAGATACAATGCTGATACTTCTGACTTCAACCGACACCAGGCATACATATGGTCCATATACATACACATAGGCAAAACACTCATACACATTGTGGTTGTTTGAAAGAAAATGGCCCCCATAGGGCGTGACATTAGGAGGTGGGCTTTGTTGGAGTAGGTGTGACCTTGTTGGAGGAAGTGTGTCCCTGTGGGGCCAGGCATTGAGGTCTCATATGCTCAAGCTATGCCTAGTGTGGTATGTTGGCGAATATTATTTTAAGGTGTGTTAAACCTTTGTTTATGTTGCATTTGTTTAACTCTGTGAAGCTTGTGTTACTTTGCCTGTCTAAAACACTTGATGGTCTAAGAAAGAGGTGAACAGCCAATAGCAAGGTACGAGAAAGGATAGCAAGGCTGGCAGGCAGTGAGAATATATAGAAGGTGAAATCTGAGAGGAAAGAAGAAGAGGTATCCAGAGAAGGAGGAGGACTCCAGGAGCCAGCCACCCAGCTACACAGCAAGTCATGGAGTAACAGTAAGATTTACCACTGTGGAAATCAGTATGGCGGTTTCTCAGAAAATTAGGAATTGAACTGCCTCAAGACCCAGCCATCCCACTCTTGGGCATATACCCAAGGA